CGCAAAGTCCCAAGGTGTCATTTGTCAAAGACGGTTGCCACTTTGTGCCCATTCCTTGATTCTTCATGGACTGCTGATCTATCTCCTGCTGGCTTGATGGGCTTGCTGTACATCCTGACGAGGATTAAGCCAAACAGTGATTTGGGCAGCATGGCTTTGTGTTTAGATATGGTTTTGTTTGAGACTTTCACTGATATGATAGTTACTTTGTGACTTTTGTTGATCATTGATTGATTCATTCATGATTGTTTCAACCATGATTCAATGGTATGATGATGGTATGATTCATTAGTTATATTTGTCAACTCTGGAAGGATTGTTGTGCCAAACTTACTACCAAATCAATCATTTGTCAATTGACAAGGCATTCGCTATTATGAAGAGCTTGCAGCAGCAGGGCAACCAGGATTGGGTCGAGTCAGTGCAGCACATGGTGGCAAAGAGACATTCTTCAACAAGCTGGGCGAGAAGCTGCCATTGAACCTGAATGATGTTCATGCCTTTCAGCTTGCTGAAGAGCATGGTTGGCAAGCTCAATGGCTGCTGCCTAAGAAAGGGCCTCGAGGAAGGAGGGCATCAACAGCTGCAGCACCACCAGCTGGCCAACAGACTCTCACTGGCATGATCGCTTCGAATGCCTCTTCAACGACTCCGACGACTACTACGACAGCCAGTGAGACTCCTTCAGATGCTGCCCAGTCTACACCAACACGTCCAAGTACTGCTGGTGCCAGTTCTCCAGCTACTGTTGAAGTGCAATCATCGCCATCGCCAACAGCTTTGCCTTTCCTGTTTGCTCCTCCAGCGGGCACTACAGTTGCAGCCAGGACCACTCCAAGAGTTGTGTCAATTGGAGCTGGTGCAAAGGCTGGAGGACATGTCAATCAGCCAGCCCCACCGCCAGCTCGTCCTGTGACAGTGCAAAGTGGCCCACCTCCAGCTCCTGCAGCCCTGCAAGGTGGCCCACCTCCAGCACCTGCAGCCATGCCAAGTGGCCCACCTCCAGCTCCTGCGGCCATGCCAAGTGGCCCACTGGCTGCAGCTTCTGAAGCCATGCCAAGTGGCCCACCTCCAGCTCCCATGTCAGGCGATGGTGGCAATGTGGCAGTGGAGTCTGGGACAACAAGGTCCAAAGCAGGAGCAATGGCACCGCCACAAGTGCCACAATGTCAGATTTGTTTCAATCCGCTCAGGGATGCTCCAGTGGATGCTCTTCCATGTGCCCACACGTTCCACCAGCACTGCATTCGCGAATGGCGCCAGATCCACCATTTGACTCCAGATTCATGCCCCAACATGTGTCACAGAAGTGTGCACTTGGTGTCTGAAGGAGATTTGGTTGAGCCTCACCCAATTCAGATGGGACCTGGTGAAGATGAGCTTGATCATGACATCGAGATGGAACCTGATGCAGAGCCTGATGAGCTGGACATGGATGACTCCCAGATCATGTAGTCATTTGACATTTGACTGCACCGTTCCATTTGCAGTCAAAGCTTAAAGCCTTGACGCAGTTGGTCATTTGACATTTCATTCAAGTCACTTGGGATATAGTTTGCCAGCGCTAGTTGAAACTGATACATCTAGTCACTAGTCTAGACCTGTGTTGTTTGCATTTGTTAGGAAGCTCAGGATCTTATTTGGTCATGGAATCTTAGTTAGTTTTGGCAGACTATGGTGGGATGTGACAAGTTGAGTTGCTGATTGGCCAATTTGTTTCAGGGACCAGCTTAGCCGCTTCATTCAAATCTGAGGCCTTAGGTATTAGCAAGTTGAAATCCATCGCCTGCTCTTGGCTGGAGTGTCAAAACAAGAGGTGTGTGTTTGAGTCCTTTCAAAAACATAGTTTTGTGGTTGCGTCATTTGAATCTGACAGATATGACTGAACTGTCTTCAGACTTTTGTATTCCTGACTTCAGACTTTTGTATTGACAGGTGGATGCTTGCCTTCCTTTGCTCAGTCGCTCAGTCTCATCAAGTTGAAGAATTGTCATGTGACGCTTGACAGAGTCAACCATGGTGTGTCTTTTCCTCAGTCCTTTGACGCTTGATGTGAGTTAGTAGCCAACATTTGATCCATTTAAACCACCACAGATGAAGCCAGCAATCAACTTACTGTACTTAGTAGTCAATTAGATGTGACATGGCCTGCAATTACTTTGTTTCATTGTCAATCGATCATTTGCACCATGGCCTGGGAGCAGCCAGATGAGCCAGTGTTGCAAGCTCGTGCTTGCCAAGGGTTGGTGTTCAACATTCAGACGGAGAAGTGGCCTGCAAAACTGGCCCAAAAGCAGGAATCAACTATTTGGTGGGATTTGAGCTACTTTTGTGAATCTGCTCCTGTCATATGTTCAGAAGGCATGTCAAAGACAGTTGCAATCTTCAAGGAGCTAGCAATCAAGCTGGATTTGAAGGGCGAGCTTCATGTGCGAGGTAAGACTCAAAGGTAAGGGGTTGACTAACATGTGTCTCACTGTTTGGGTTTGAGTTCTCATATATTGTTGTTGGCCTATGAGTCTTCTGAGTGGGGGATGGCAGCACTTGTCACTTGACCCGGGAGGCCAACTGCATTGGATGCCAATTGTGCAACTTCACTGCTATTTGTGCACTCTATTCCAGATTGCATTGCAAAGGCAAGAACGCCAGCGAAAGTACAGTCGTGCATGGAATACATTAAATTTGTCTTGGCTCAGTTCCTGCTGAATCAGCCAATTGCGGCACCACAGGTGCAGTTACAATTGCATAGCGGTAAGGCAATGCACATCAACTCGAGAGGCATGATCATGAATTTTCATGCAGTGGTAGAGAGTTCGCACGCTGGACTTGTCTCCTCTTGGGGCAAGCAGTGGGGTTCTATGGTCAATCTAAGAAGTGCGTGGTCATCCACTGAGCTGCACATGGAAGATGTCATTGAATTTGTCTTGACAGTTGACTCTGCCAGAAAGTCTCAACAGAAACATGCTTGGAAGAACGTAAGCAGAGCTTTGCTGGATGATTTGAGATCAACGTTTATCAAGACATTGGCCCAAATGCTGGATTCTGTGATCTTGGGTAATGTCTCCGTGTTTTGTGGCCAGCAAATCCCTGATCGTGTCTTTCGCAGCCGCAGGCCAGGTAGGGCCAAGTGTTGATTAATATTATATTTACTGATTGACTTGACTTAGTCTGACTGAATGTATGTTATAGGAATTGGAGGAGTGATGGCCTGACACGACTGACCTTGTAAAGTCGTTTGCAGGTCAGAACAAGGTGCTCAACGTGTGACAAAGCGGGTTCATATTGACCAGATCTGGGAATATGTTGAGCAGGGCAAGACAAACAATGTGTGTTTGAGAACAGCTGTGAAGGATGCAAAAGCTGGATCCGGAACATATTGGCAGCACAAACGGCTGTCTATGTACCTGAACAGGAGTCAAGTGGCCATGTGCAACTGTCGTGATTTTCAGATAGTGACTGATGGCAGTGTCCATTCAACACAGGATCTACTTATTAGTGTGGCCTATGTACATGAGTCAAATGTTGCGGTAAACTTACCTGGACAATGCCTCTGGGCAGCCAAGATTTGTACTCCGGGCGACTTTCAAGATGCAGATGAAGAACTGCAGCGCACTCTTGCGAGGAGAGAGCAGCAGCGGTTGAGCTCTTTCAAGTTTTTGCAGGCAATCTCACACCAGTTGGAGGTGGTCACTTCAAAGTGTGTGAATCTGGAAACGTTCAAGTGTCATAGTGACCTGGCTCCAATCATGCAGCCTTTGACACCTTCTCATGGCCGTCCTGAGGTCTTGAATGATCAGATATATCTAGATGGGCTCTACTATAATGTCATTGAGTGGAGCAATTGTCAGGGTTGCCTTATTTTGACGGTGGATCAATCACCATCTGATATGGCTGCAGCGGCATTTTTGCTTGAAGGTGTGCCAGGTGGATTCTTTGTCCATTGCGATTGGGATTGGTACCACCGGCTTTCAAATGATTGTAAGCATGCTGAAGGTCAGCTTCAGTTTTCAAAGATAAAGCTTGCAACCCAGTATCTCAGTTGCCACATTATATATTATCTTCTCTTATTTAATCTAAGTAATGTTAACTTCACTGGGGTCATTTGATGTAGTCAACTGACTGACTGATGACTAACCGAGGTATGTCTGGGGGATAAACTACCGGCCATTTGGGTCAGGAGCATGGTTTGCTGAAAAGAAGGCAGCGCTTGAAAGCTTCTTCGCATCAATCACATTGGTGTCTTGGGGAGCTGAGAACCAGAAGTGTTGGGTTTATGTTGTCTCTGTCTGATAATATTATGTATTCATTGATGACCAGTTTAAAAAGTTTAGGACGATCCACTGGTGCAAAAATACATTGACAGAATCGCCCTAGACTTTGACATGCCATGCAGTACTGCTGATGAGCAACGAGCAGTCTGGGAAGCTTTGGGTCGAATGCACTCCTGGAACTTCAAAGGAGCCAAACCAAAAGATTCGAGGTGGTTTTCATGGCAGAATGCATGTCATCAGCAACTGCGAGAGTGGCATGGCACCAAGCTTATCCTTTCCTGGTACTTAGACAACGATGAACCAGACTCAGATTTGATTCAGGCTGCTGCAACGTTTGATGCTCTTCGAAAACAAGCCGGTGGAGGTGGTCTCACACTTGCTCTCTACAGCTTGAACCAGAAGATTTGGGAAAGAACTAAGGTTCTGTACTTGTGTACAATTCCATGTTGGTCAGAATATACAAGATTCAACACAAGTGTCAAAAGTGCATCTGACTGCTTGGCGTACTTTATGTGCGTGTCCAATGATGGCTGGTCTTCTTGTCAAGAGCTACAGGAGTTATCCCAAATTGTGAGTCCTGAAGCCAAGTCTCAGTTTGACTCATGGGTTCAATGGTGCCCTGATCCATGTGATATTGCCCGAACAAGCTTTGAATTTGTGACCTCTTTGCTTGGACAAAGAGCTAGCAGCTATGCCAAACACTTGACGCCTCCCTACTGCTATGCCAGCATGCTCTCAGATGACCCTCACATGGAAGTGAGGAGAATGAAACGTGATTGGCAAGGACTTGTGCAGCTGGAAACCAGCACTGCAGAGCAGGCTTCTCAATTGGCTAAAGATCTCAGGATCACTTTGCCCAGTCCAATGCGTTTGGTCATGTTGACATTTGAATCTGTGGGATGGCAAGTTGATGACCCACGTGCTTCAGGAGCCATTCGAATGTTGGGGTGCATGTTGAAGCGCCTTCCTGATTCTAAGCTGATTGAAGACTACCATCAGAGGCTGAAAGCCAAACAGCGTTATGGTGCTCATCATCAAAAGAGGCGCTTGTCATCATTCCAACACATTCAGAATTTCTCAGATGAATTGCTTGCTGCCCGTGATGTTGTTCACCCAACAATTACTGAAGGGATCTTCAGAACCAAATACCGCCAGACCAACAGCAAGAGCTTTAGTGAGGCCAAGCACATGAACTCAAGGAGGCACAAGCTTGCCAAAGACTTCCAGGCCATCATGAGTCCCAATCGTGATTGGTCTACATTGACGGTGGCTTCTCTTCGGAAATCAGCAGCAGGTTGGCAGTGGATAAGGCACTATCTCGGTCAAAAGCTTTGGCAGCAAAAGGTTCCAATCAAGGCTTGGTCGCTCTCCTTTCGACAAGCTGTCCCAAGAAAGGATCATAACTATTTATCTGCAGAAGTAATTGTTGAATTCTCAAGTATGATTTGCCCTTTGACATTTTGTTTTCAGTAGTCATGTTTTGTCCCCCCTGTCCCTTGCATGTGCAGGCTGCTTTGCTGAATGTTCTATGCCAGGAAGGCTTGGTCATCAAGAAGATTGGAGCTGAAGTCCCGGTTTTGGTGCTGGCCCAACACTGCTGGGCCACTTTGACATGGCCATTGGCGATGGGGCATCAGACTGGTTGTGGGGAGCAGCACTTCTCTTTGGTACCAGATGGAGCAGTCCAGTGGCTTTATTGTTACAACGCAGAGGACTACCTTGTGTTGCCTGTCAAGGCTCGTTGGGGAGACCAAGGTATCTTCATTGCTACAGCTGGAACGGAACAGCCCTTGCTGACTTATGCCCTCCTTTACTTGCAAGACCGCTTCACACTCAGCAATCTTCACTCAGTTGGCCAGATTCTTGGAGTTATCGAACCTGGGAAGAAGCCAACAAAAAAGAAGACACTGGAAGCATTGGCTACACATGTGGGAGATTGCAACTTCATCGAACAAGTTCTTCATCGGGCTGAGTGTGGCAAGCAGAAGGAGGACCATATCGCGTTTGAAGGTGAAGCAGACATGCTGAGCTGTTTGTTAGAGCAGTTGGATAAGGACGAGCAGGAAAGAGTACAAGAGTCTGAAAAAGAAGTCAACTGAAGGGATCAATTACCGTCAGCAAGAGAAGTGGAGGCAGTGGCACAAGGAGAAGATTCGTGAGAAGAAGGACAGAAGCTCCAAGTTGTCTTTGAACTGTGGTTTCAAAACCTGTTAGATGTAAAAACTAAGTAGGCGGGGGAATAGCTACAATAATATGAACAAAGATGTTGTCACAGAAACACACCTGTAGGAAAAAAGGGAATTGGCCGCAGAGAAGAAGAGGTTGAAAGCAGAGGCCAAAGAGAAACCGAAAGGGAAAAGGAAGGCAGTGAAGCCACAGGCAAAAGCGAAGAAGAGATTGAAGTCACATGATGGCAGTGCTCTGCCAACGCATAATGCTGAGGAGGATGCACCTGAGAATGGCGCCAAAGAAGAATCAATTGTCATCGAGGTTGCGGAGGAGCTTGAGTCAATTGGTGTCAGAGAAGTTGTCATTGACAGCTTAAGTCAAATGACATTGGTCAGATGGCGAATTCAAATGCTTCTGCTGAACAAGCAGGTGTTCCTCCCTTGGCTGTGTCAATTGACAATTCTGAAGTACCTCAACCGCCCTTGGATTCAGGTGCATGTGCTGAACAAGCTAGTGTTCCAACTTTGGCTGAGCCCCCTGTGTCAATTGACAATTCTGAAGTGCCTCAACCGCCCTTGGGTTCAGGTGCATGTGCTGAACCAGCTGGTGCTCCTCCTGCAAGTTCAAGTGCAGCAAGTTCAAGTGCTCCTGCTGCCCCTCCAGCACCTGGGGAGCCTGCACGACCTAGGGGCCCCAAAGCTGCGTCACTCAGACTGCTTGTGTGGACTGACATTGACTGCCCATCGTGCCACTCGACTGCAGGCCAAATACCTGGCCCAGGACGGCTTGGCACATCTGATCCACCTTGCTGGTTCATGCGGGTCAATCACAGACCTGATGGAGGGTGGCCCAACCAAGGAGCCCATTTTAGACGTCGCAGTGTGTCAGTGGTTGGAGGTGAAGACAAATTTGCCATCAGCTGGGTCTTGAAGAACAAGACCTGCTGCAAAGGGTCAGTGTGACGTCCGTCATATGATAAAAATTGATTTGGGAGTCTGGGAGTGCTTGCTGAGTTTGGATTGATTCAAGCCTATTAGCTTAGCAGGTTTGAGATGTCCAGTTCATTGATCATGTCATTCATTTGGTAGGCTGTTTGTCGTTCATTTTTGGTGTCTAGTCTAGAGTGCTTTGTTTACTCTGCAAGCATCATTGGTAAACCTGCATTCTGTCATTGGTCCAAGAAGCAGCAACGGACCTAGCTACCTTTTAAAGGGCATGCTGAGCGACTCTATTTAGAAACAGGGTTCAATCAAGGATTCAGGATGAGAGAGTCTCATTTGTACCGATCTTCAACATATTAAATTGCATCTAAAATCATTTGAGTTCATTACACTGAAAGTGACTGTCTGTTATTGCTGCAATGGTGAAGCATTCAAGTCGGGTGGCTTCTTCAGTGGCTATGCTACCATACTACTATGGATTGATGTCCATGTTGTCTTCTAATGCCATGACTCATGGTGCCAATGCCAAGGGAGTCAAGGTGAAAGGCAAAAAGAAATCTAGGGACCAAGAGAAGAAGACAGTTGAGTCACTTGACAATTTGACTGCCGTAACTACTGCTACTTCAACGACGTCAACGCCTTATGATTCAACTGGCAAGTTGGAGATGGAGCAAAAGGAAGTGAAACTTCTGCAGCTCTTCCACAAGGTTTCAATGTATGGCCTCGATGACTTGGGTCACATCTTTGACTTTCAGAGGTGGGAAATTAAACATGCTTATATCATGTTCAAATATGTTCAAATGTTTCAAGTTGGGTCAGGCTCAATTCAAGGACAGCAACTTTCACTGTTATAGCCCAGTTCAGTTCACACCTGTGATGGTCTTTTTTGGTGTTACTGTTCATGACTGTGCTGTGTGCAGGGTGGGTCAATTGGTGGATTCATCAACAAGTGAACTTTTGGAGCGAATTGAGAGTTGCCTGGACTTTGATTCACTTCGTGGAAGTCAAGCAGAGCAGCACTGGCACTCGATCCTCGGGGCAGTCTTTCCAGAGCTTCAAGAGTTGAGTTTGAAGAATAGGCTGGCAGCATTGATTCAGTGTGGCAAGAGGAACATGGCCGCTTCCAAGTTCACTTTTGTGGAATACTTCAGTGGCTATGGCAACTTGACCAAATCGTTTCTGGCACAAGAATATTTGGGAGCAGCTTTCGATTTCAAGTACACTTCGAACCATGACTGTTTGACAGTTGAAGGATTGCGACTCTGGTTTGCAGCTCTGCTGAGCTGTGGTCCAAAGAGCTTCATTTGGTTTGCAATTGAATGCAGTTCGTGGGTACCATTATGTTTGAGCCAGAGCTTGCGACGCGAGTCCAATGGGTACCTTGGCGACACTTCCAAAGTGTTCATTCAAAATGGAAATGCGCAAATGGTGGTCAGCTCACTGTTGATGTTTGTGGCATGTCTTTTGGGGCACATTGTGAGTCTCGAGCAACCGCTCGGTAGCATGTTACCACTTTGTGATCTCATGGACACAGTCTTGAAATTCATTGGCATGTCCAAGACGGTTTGCTACTTGGGCGCCTATGGTGCAAAATCCGTCAAGCCTGTGCAGCTTTGGTCAACGTCGTCTGGATTGGTGGCCTTGGAAACGGGGAAACCTTCATGTCCAGAAGAGCTTGCTCAGAGAGGCAATGATGGTCAATACACAGGCAAGAAAGATTTGCTGGCAGAAAGTGAGCAATATCCTATTTTGTTTTGCTCACTCCTGGCAGATTTGTTTGTCTGTGGACGCTTGTGAGCACACGTGGCAGTTTAATTCAAATATTTAGTTGCTGGTTGATAAAACCAGTATTTGCATCACTGGGGTGGAGTGTGAGTGAAAAACTGATGTCAACTCACTTCTTCGGAGTTCATTCTTTATCATGTCAATGTCTTGATCCACTTCTGGGAGCCCACTTTGATTTGCACTTGTTCGGAAGTCTGTTGGAAACTTAGGCTTGCAGACTTTGCGCAGTCATCTCAGTAACAGAGCTTTGAAATGAAACACCACTCTTAGTTTGCGTGCATTTTGACCAACTGAGGCAGGAGTCATTTGACAAGTGACTTTTGACAGGTGATGTGTACTGGGTGGATGTTCAAAGACTCCTATGTAAACAAACGATGTTTTTGTTTTCTTGACTGGCAAACATTATAGTAGTACTAAAAAGTTTTATGAACTGGAACGTGTTGCTAACAAATTAAAACCATTGAAAAATTTCAATCAATTCAGCTTTAATCTCGAACAAACATACTTTAATCTCAAAGACCCTTGTCTACTTGACAATGAATCAAAACTGTATATCTCAGTAATATAACCTAAATTAGGGAAAGGTGACTGATCTGGCCCCTGCTGATCTAAGTGCTAGATTGGTTAAAAGTGATCATAGACTCTAGACCCATCCCCCACGGCCAGTATCCGCACTAAGCTTTCTGGAGGCGCTTCTAAAGACAGGAGCACTGCCGAAACACCGAACTCACCATCACCCCCATGATACAGCTTGACTCCGTGCGCTCACAAATTGCGTACGGAGCTCTCCACAACAGCTGTAGAGTCCGCGCGGAACCCGGTCTTCCCTTCTCCCGGCGTCGGCTTGGTTCCGGCGACCCAGTACACCGTGAGGCGGTTGCTAGCATCGCCCCCGCCTGGCAGCATCCCAAAACGGACAATGCCATCACACCGCTCTAAAACCGTTCCGTGCCAAAGGGATGAATGCTCACCCAAGCCGCGTTCTGCAAGGGATTGGGACGTCACTTCATGGTACACCTGTCCAGGATCAGTGATTCCGCTATCCGAAGAGTGGCCCTGAACCGCTCGGATCCAGCCGCCACGAACCTCGAGCCGCCTCTTGGCGTTTTCCCCGTCGAGCTCCACGGCTTTCATCAAATGCTCGACTGGGACTCGGAAACTCCGGCGGATGCTTCCAGAGAGATCCAGCCCTCTGCATCCAACCGACCCTTGTGCCCATGTCCTCCATGACGATAGGCCTTAGTCATTGCACGTCCCATCTCCGCTGGGTCCTCGCGTAAATCCTTCTTCTTCCACCAACCCTTTCCTTTTCCTTTTCCGCGCCCCATACGGCCCGCGGGACGGAGGTCCGCGGCCAACGGTGCCCCCCGTCCGGCCGCTGCGACCCCGCGACTTTCCCAGCTACCGCGCGGGTCTTCAAGCCAACAAAACGGCTGCGGAGAAGACGCGACTCGAATCCGACACGCGAAAACAAAAAACAACGCCCGAACCCACCTACTAGACCCCAAAAACCTACGAGTAGGGTGGTTGTGGTCCGAAGCGGCCTCATCGTGTTTATTACGAACCCCTGGGACACCCGCGACAGGAGGCGGATCAAGACCCTTGACCCCCAGTGCTTCCAGCGCGTCCCCAGCGGGCTGAACCGCCTCCACCGGCGCGTTTTGACACGTCTGCCGAATCTCGTCTTCGGCCTGATCATCTGTCAGGTACCTACCGTCGACTACTCTACCTGTTCGCACGGTGAGGTCATCAACGTAGGCCACCCACTCCCTGGTATATTTCATCTTTCTTCCTCTTCCAGGGGCGTAGGCTCGATCCACTACGTAACAGAAATCATCAGGTCCGTTAACCGGGCCGAAAGTAAGGCACACCGGTAAGAACTTACCGCTCCTGGCCACAATTGCTAGCACTTCCATTGCTCGACGGGTGTTCTTGATCTGATTGAAGCCAGTGACGGCGTCAACGAAAGAGAATAACCAAACGCTACCCGCAGCAGTGGCAAGCACATCAGTGGCCTTTCTGCAATAGTATGTGGATCGGATCACTCTGGCATTGACCCGTCAGTAATCAACAACCAATCTTCTTTTTCGGTGCCGCTTGTGCGCAGGCGCTTCCCGGGTCGGAAACGGTGGCGAACCCCAGGCCGAAGTTCCGCGCACTAATTGGCCGCGACGAACTTCTTCTTCAAGCTTCTCGTCAACCCAGGATGCAGCCTCACCCTTCAGATTGTGAGGTTGCGAACTGACTGGAGGTCCAGACGGTACGCAGTCGTGAAGAACATTACGGACTGTCGTCCGTGGTGACCCTTCCAGCCAAAACCCGCCAGATTTCCGTTCCACGACCTCGCGACACGCCGCGACGTCAGCCTCAGAGAGGCCTGCCCTCCGCTCCTTCCAATCGTCTCCGAAGCCCAACTCCTTGACCACTTCCTGCCGATAGGCATCTGTGCGCCGAGGATCTTCTTTGACCTGTTGGCCCGAATACTGGTAGACCGACAAGTCTGCCTTTACCATGTCCCATTCCTTTCGATCAGCTCGAGCCTTCCACAGGGCGTCCATCTGACTGTTTGGACAGAGCTGCTACCTCTTTGTCTAGCCTTTCTCTTTCTGCGGGGTTCAAATCGTCAGAAGTAACCACTCCCCTGTGATCAGGCGTCGCCGAGTACACGGCGTTGTGCGAGGGGATACCCTCCAGCGGAGGAACTCCTTGGCAAACAGGACGGGATGACAAACGTGACAGCATGCAGGCTCATGAACGCCGCTCAAGATGCCACAGCCCATCCACTTAGTTCCCCCCGGACCTCCACCTTCACGGATCCTTTGACGTGTCGATGCGTATGCGACACACATCCGAGGGCGTCTGGTCGACCGCGCCTCAAAGAGAACTCACTTAGGCAAAAGTTCGCCAGCCAGATCTGTCCCTTTTCACCGGCTGCCCAAAACTCCCATCCGTCAGACTCTTCGATTCCATTCCGTATTGGCACGCGTCAGTTGAAGCGAATTGCCACGGGAATCGAGGAGTAGCAAGCTGGCCGAAGCTCTTTATCCAATCTGCCTCGCTCCACAGGAGGCTGCCCGTTGGGCTTTGAGCCGTTCCTTTCCTTCCTCCTTTCTCTTGCTCGGAGAGGACTCGGATGACCAGATTCCTGACCGCATGATCACTGCTGTTCGGCTCCCTCTGGCCCATCACGCTGTAGCGTTCACATGGGGGCCCTGCATGCACTACCGCTGGTTCCAAGACCGCGTGCAGACACCAGAACAGCTCTTGATCCACGGGCAACGTCAGATCCCAAGTCTTGCCAACGGCAGGGTGCAGCCGATCCAACGGTGGAGCTACACTCAGCCCCCTTTGTCTAGCGGCGAGCGTAAGCCCTGCTTGTCCAGCAAAAATCTCCCAAAAATCAATGCGCGAAGGCGGGTGCGCCTCTCTCTAGCCAAGACCACACGGCGCGCCCCTCAGCCGATCGCCACACTGACGGCCACGAGGGGAGGGACTCAGAAGACAGGATGGTCAACACTTCCTCAACTAAGTGAAGACAGCTGACTGGCTCGTTTTGGCCCAAATGATTCGGCGCGCCGGCAGCTTCCTTCAACGAATACCCTCCTTTGTCCAACTTCCGCGCTGAACTAGCCGCGAGAGCTCCGTCCTTCATGAGATCTACTTTACAAATGACCTCCTTGATGGTCACTGGTTGCAGGAGAGGCCGGGTGCCTTCTTGACTACCACTTTACTCGAAGGCCCGACGCGTCAGGCATGTACCTGTGCACGCTTACCTGCGCTTGTGCTACGTCCACTTGCGTCACCCTTCCCAGGTGTGCCACTTTGTGAACATGGACCTTCCTATAAGCAACTTTATCGCCAATCCGCAGGACAAAATCTCGTCCGCGACGCTGAAGCGTGAACTCTACTTGACGGGCTTCACCTGACGCTTGCTGACCCAGACTGGGCCCTTCATCACCAGGTTCATCAAATACGATGGGAGCCCGCGACTCCTCGCTAGAGTCCGCTGGAACCAAAATGCAATCTTCGGCATGCGCTTCATGCCTGCGACGAACAGCAGGAGCGCCGGCAAGAGGTGGTTCCACAGCTTCCAACCAAAGGCGATTACCGCGAATGTCAACAACCTCCCAAGGCCCGTGCAGACCAGGTTTCCAAGGGACACGGGCCGCCCCCTCTGGACGGGCCGTGGGAGACCGCCACACGACGCGGTCGCCAACCTTCAAGTCTGGCATTTTTCCTCTTGGTCTGGTTCCAAATCTGGGGGTTAAATTTTACACCCGCTTTTCATCAAGCAGCTGCCCAGCTTCACCGGCATCATTTCCGGCTGGATCAAGAAGCTGCCCGGCATCACCGGCATCATGTCCGCGAGTGTGCCCCGAACCAGCTGGAAATTTGCCATTCAAGTCCACATGCCGCCGGAAGCGGTTAGCCAAACGCGCGCGGGCGGCAGATGCCCGATTCCAGTGCTTGCTACTACACTAAGCAGCCCCCCAAGTTATCATAGTTATAACTGTAGTTATAGCACTTACTGAAGTTAAAAATAAGTTATAAGTAAGTTATATGAAAGAAAGTGTAAGTAAGTTATAAGAAAGTTGTAGAAGTTATTAAGTTGCTTAAGTTGTTTGCGTTGCCAAAAATCAGGGCAGACAACCGCCGAGCCAAAAACACAGAAAACACAAGTGTTTTCAAATTCTGGGCAGACAACCGCCACAAGTCCACAGCCAGTCGCACTTTTACAGCAGACACACGACTTTGTCATCTTCGTGGCACCACCACGCTGGCCGCCAGACATTGCTGCAACCGATTGGATTCAGCTGTCATCCCCGAACCGCACTTGCAACATGTGGGGCTGCCATCAGATTCAGGCTCATGTCCGACAGCCTGGGTGTCAGCTTCGGTTGCCACCACCTGCGTTGTGTCTTCCATGATTCAAACTGCGCAAGAAAACTTTTTTTGAGCCCTCAAGTGTCTGCCATAGATAAAAAAACTTGGTGGTAAGGAGGTCTAAGGAGACACACGGGGATATAAGGATACATTGGGATACACGTGTATCCCAATGTATCCCTGTTTTTCCTGGTGAGGAGATACACCGGGATACATTGAGATACACGTGTATCCCAATGTATCCCGGTGTATCCTGGTGAGGGGATACACCGGGATACACCGGGATACACGTGTATCCCAATGTATCCCTGTGTATCTCTCTGTATCCCTGCGCCTTCCGTTTCTATCGCCAAAAAGATGATCGGTATGTCTGCACACAAAAAATTTCTTTCCATACAAGATTGCATTTCTGGGCGGTAACCGCCAAAGGTTAAATAATTGCATTGCGTTCTTTTTCGGAATGCAAGCTCTGGAGATCGGAACCTGTCCCAGCACTTTGCTTCCACATAGCATGGGAAAAGTTCCCACTGCTGCGTCGAAGAGCGTGCCATGGCTTGCAAGGAAGTGCCCCTTTGCCGCACGTCCCTCTGAACAACAACAATTAAAAAATGTCACATGTGCATCATGGTGCATCTCACACAGCCTGGGCAGACAACCGCCAAAAGAATCAACGAATCCTGCACAATGTGAGCACTTATTAACCTTGTTGGTGAATATACTGTTTTTTTGCACAGAACTTACAAATCATCAAAAAACAAACATAAAAAAATAACTTCCGTAACTTGTTTCTAAGTTCTGCAAGCTTCAACATAGCATGTGTCATAACTATGTTATAAATTTCACATGTTTTAGAACTTACTTATATTTGTGTTATAACTTCCAAGGAACTTATCGAACTTAGCATAGGTTATAACATATGTTATCCCTAGTTATAACCTATGTTGAGGAAGTTTTTAACTTCTTTAACTTGGGGGGCTGCTCAGTGTAACAACTTGAGCGATTTCGTGCAATTGGCTAAACTGCCGTCGGGCCCAATCAGAAATGGGCTCGAATTGAAGAGCTTCGTGAAGCACATCCTTCTCGAGTGGGAGGGCTTGGCTCCATGACTTTTCCAAGTCTCTGGGAGCATACCCATGAGGTCCAGGAGTGTTATCCAGGATATATTCCGCCACGATTAACCGATCAGACCAATTTTCGGCGGCGCCCAACTCCCGAACCAAGGCGCCCAGCGTCTTCTGCACTTCCTGATGCATTCTCTCATTGCTTCCCATTTCGCACGGGCGGAGTGCTGCAGAAAACCGCTAAAAAAGGGCATTCAGCTCCTTCATCAGAGCATTTTTGAATTCCACTCCTCGATCACTCCGAACAAGTGATGGGATGGGTCTGCTCCTCAAGACACACTTCGTGAACGCCTTCCTCACATCTGAATGCGTCAGCGAACGCAGTGGTTCCAGCATGACCCTTCTCTGTCTTCCTTGTTTGGCCCCTTCACAGTCGACAGATACTTCCTCCCAGCAGGTAGTGGCCATGCACTTGACGGCCTTAGTTTCGACTCTGGTCGGCCTGCCCCCTACCTTTCAAGCAACTCATCTTTTGCCACCAAACACTCCTTTCCAAGAGTCTCAAAGTCACTTCTGCGCTGCGGTGCGCCCCCAAGACTCCTCCATGGACCGCGAAGTAGCATGACTTCCGCCAGGTCACCCCATCATCTGCAACCACACCATCAGGAACTACCGGCGCCCAGACGGTTTGTCCAGTCTTCAACTGGACTTCCTTTTCTAAGACCCCGTCTCCAGCAATCCTGTAATGATGCGAGGCCTTCCGAAAATGGCTCGCAAGCGACTCATCCTTTCTTTGGGCCAAGCCCCTCGCAGAGAGCCGGACACTTTGAACTCAGATATACCTGACGCATCCCGCGCTTCTCTGGCCAGACCTTCCCTGTCTCCCCATTGTCCCTCTGTGATCCACCTACTGGCTCAAGCCGTTCGTCCGGCCAAGTAGTGAGGATCCAACACGGAGACCTCAACCACAGAACAACACGAGGCCTTCGGTCTTCACGACCCACGAAGGCCAAAGTACGCTTCCGATGCCCTTCAGATACTCATGATTTTCTTTGCCAAACTAATTTCATCCCAGTGTCCTCCTTCATTCTCTTGGAAGGACACGAGGACCAGATGATCCTTGAGTGCCAACAGAGGCTGAAAGACCGTAAGGTTAGCCTATAGGGCTGGGGGCGCTATAGTCCAACTTCAGTTTTGCGCCACTACAAGCACAAGTGGGGATCAAGCAAGTCAAGCGCAGCGTCGTGCGTGAAGCAAGCGGCTTTTCCAGTCTTGAGCAAAAATGTGTCAGTCATGTACATACATAAGAGGTGAGACCAGCTGCACTGAGTTTGAAGGCAACCAGTTCAAAGCAAACATTCCTAAGAATAATGCGCTTGCAAACTTTGCTGTTCAGTGCTTAGGCGGTGAAAAGTCGAAGTAACAGCGTGTGTCTTGAGCCATAGCTTGAGCCAACCCCTTGTAAACCTGAAAACTGAAAAGTACTGTGGAGGTAAATACACAAACGATTGTCTTTTTGTCTGAGTGTTTGCACCGGTTCCATGTTCACACGCATAAAATACACACCAGCAGCCCGCGAGTTTTTTTCAGTCCATCAGCAGTGCTTCTTGTCCCACCCAAGCCAAGGCCTTTGCAAGGCTATAGTGCACTAATGTGTTCACACTCATAGTAGCTGGGTGGGAGTGGCATACTATCCTCCTTGGCTAAGCGTGTTCGTTCGCAAATTTCATTGCCTCAGAGTTTCCTCTCTGGAAATAGGTTTGCAAAACGCTTCCAAGAGTCTTAATGAGGCCAACCAAGTTTTCGTCCAATACACACTGGAAATATCGGGGGTTACCGCTTTGCGGAAGCCAGTCTAGCAACCTTGGATGTTGACCCTTTCAAAGGCTTAAAATTGACCGCAATGCGTCAGCGCAACCTCCCAACCTATTCAGAGCGAGCAAATTCCAAGCTGACCACAGCGCGTCAGCAGAACCACCTGTCCTGTTGAGAGCAAGTCAAGCAAAGTTTAGAGAAAGTTTGGTCTCCAGATGTGTCAACTTTGGGCACTACCCCCTCAAGGCGCCATAGTCGAACTTTAGGACCCCCTAGATTCCGATGCACTATGAGGTCCTTTGGCCTGTGTTGGTGACTTGCGACACCCCAGCGATTGGCTTCCATCTCCATCATCCCGTCGTTGAATTCTGTCTGGGATCCCTAGGAGATGAATGAGACTCTTAAACCTAGAAGGCAAGCCTTCCGGTGCGCCACACAGCTTCACACACCTGAGTCACCAGGAGCCTGTGATTATGCCAATTTATAGAGTCAGCGCCCCATCTCAACTTTGATGGTGCGCTCACTTCTTCTCGGCAGCAATGGTGCCCCGGAAGGACCACCCCGTTGCTGTCCACGACCCACGTGGAGATGTATGGAAGGCTGGCCTTACCTTTCCCGAAATTCACGCTATCACTAACTGACTTCCATAGAAGCACTGAAAGCTCGCCAAATTTGGTCTCACACTGTGATTGGTGCCGAATCTCCTTGCCGGCTCGTCTCCAGCTCTCAAGGATTTTCACTGAAAGAGACTTGAAACCTTCATGCCCACGAGTGGCGAGAACGTCCACGTCCAAGCCCAGCTCGGATTCTAGCTCAAAGGACCCTCGCGCACACTCTTCTACCATTATGGACTCCAAGACTTCATGAGCCTCTTTCTCTATGCAAGCCGGACACCTAGAAAACAAATAAGTTCTCCGGCCGCACACGCACAATCCTTCATGCTCCCAAACTTCACGAGCTGGCTCAGAGAGTAAAGACCTGAGGTTCAACTCATCTAAGCCATCAACCTTAGCAAGACCGAGGGCCTCGAACATAGCAGTAGTATCATCAGGTCTGCCATGCTTCGTCGAGACTCCAAAACCCTTCAACGGCTCCACGGAGAACTTCTTCTTGAGCTCGGGACACGCTTGCGTGACGTCTTCCGCGCCGATCTGGGATTTCCAAACGCGAGGGTTCACGCACCAGATGCACTTGATTTTGCTCCAAGCAGAACCCACTTTCTGCACTTCTTTCAACTGCAGGTTTCTAGCCTGGAGAGTCAACTCGACCACCAAGGGCCACCTGATAAGCGCCGCTACCACTCCGCCTTGAACGAACCCAATCACGAAGTCCGGCAAAAATCCTGCAGCATCTCGCAACAGTTTTGCGCAGGACGTCAAGAGGTCTACTCTGATCCTCTTGATCCTTTTCACGCCGGTGAGCCTTCCAACTGCTCCGTCGAACTGCGAAGCTATGCCCTCATCGTCTTCAACTGGGCCAAAGCTTGCTCTCAGCTCGAGCGAAATTCCGGGCATCGCTCTTTCCAGCGTTGCCCTGGTGTCAACCATAGTCCTACTGGTGTCCCTGCTATAGTCCATGACCAACAGGACGCGCGCCTGGCCGGCCGCAGCGACCCCGATCTTCTGCTCAGGCACGGCGTCGTTTCCGACCGCCCATGCAACTACCTCATCGTTCTCCACTCCTTCCCCCAAATACTCGTCGAGGTCAAACCCTCTCAACTGGCCTGACAACGCCGACAGGTCCTTCGTCCTGGCCTCCAACAGCGCATCCCTATCCTTAGGATTTTTGCTGAAGCCATCCCCCAGTCGCGCTGACCTTCCGCTGAGACTCCGGATCTCAGACCCATCCGAAAGGACCTCAGAAACCCATCGAACTAACTTGGAGTCGACTCCGACGTTGCTGGACTACGCCCTCGTCAGATTGGCATGGTCAGTCCAACACAGAGTCCTTATGGTCCCGAAAACCTTGCGAGTCGCTCTTTTCACTTCTAGTTGAGCGTAGGCTTCCTGGATCAGCGGTGGCCATCGCTGCTGAGCAGGGGTAAGGGAGCGAGAGTGAGTCAACAGGATCTTCATTCTACTCATATCCCGCGACATTTGGAGCACCGTTCCGCAATCTGCTCCAAAGGACAAGAACCATCTGCTGCGGAAGCTTCATCGAAGGTCGCTAAGGCGATATGGTCACAGATCATCTTCTTGATCGCCTTGAACGCTTTGCAAGCCTCGGAATCTCCTGACCCGATTCCTCCTTCTGGGAATTCAACCCCAGGTCACGAAAGCTAGCGAAGCTAGCTGGTTTCTTTCGACCGGGTGCAAATCCTAACCCCTGATTTTTCAGGTCTCCCTCTTCGCAAGTTCGACTCCGTCCTGTCGTCGCTCTTTGGCATGCGGTTAGCGTTGCGTATCTTGCGGCCGCACTCGCTCACTCTCACTCTCACTGTCTCACTGTCTCACAGTCTCACTGTCTCACTGTCTCTCTCTCTCTCTCATCTCTCTCATCTCTTTCTCATCTCTCTCATCTCTCTCTCCTCTCTCTCTCTCTCTCTCTCTCTCTCTCTCCTCTCTGTCTCTCGTCTTTCCGTCTCTCTTCTCTCTCTTCTCTCGCAGGAGGATCCGGGCAAAGAGCCACATATAAAGGACTCTTCACCCCTGCCTCCAAAAAGAGCGCCGTGTTTTTTCCTACCTCGCTGCCCTCCACTTTCCCATTCTGGAGCGCTAGCTTTCGCCCCCCCCTTGGCCTCAAGTTTCTGGTAAGCTCCTAGGTCCTAGAAGTTTGGCTACGTGTCCGAATTCGGACGGCAGATAGCCTCTCAACCAATTCCCACATCCCAGGAACTGAATATGGACTTTTTCCTTCAAAGAGGGAAATCTACCACAGCTTGGCACCTTTCCGGATCAGGGTGCATCCCGTGTCTCCCGATGAGATGCCCGAGAAGCTTGCCGCTTTCAACACACAGCTCAGCCTTCGAGACCCCAAACGAAAAGCCGAAAACAATTGACTTGTCTAGGAATCCTTCGAGGGAAACGAGGTGGTCCAACAAGAAAGGGTCAGCCTTCGGGTGTCGCTGGCCGAGATCCTTCCTCAACTCTTCATAGTAGTAATCTGTAGGCGTTTCTTCGCCCATTTTTTCAAGACCAACAGATTCCACTATGTGGAGGCACGGGTTTGCTACTGTGTCCACTCCCTCACTGCGCGGACCGCGACTCATCCCGAGTCCACTGGTCGCGCTTCCAGGTAACCACCCCGCCCATGCCGGACCATGGCGCGTGAAGAACGCTGCTACCTTACAATGAACCAGCTCTTTCCATCCTTTCGGAACTGATCGATGTCTTTCCAAGTCGCAAGTTCCCCACAACGACCACTCGTCACACTTCGTTGGAAAAACTACGGAAAGGAAACGAAAAGCAGGCGGCGCGGCCGGCGGCTCGAAGGCCCGCTCGGCTACCTCGGCAACGAAACAACGGCACCCCTTCCAAGCGAGTCAAGGAAAGTGTTGACCTCCGGGTCTTCAAGCTTGGACGCGCCCCCATCGACGCCCCCAGCTCCGAAGCCCTGACTCATAGCAGAGACTGCTACTACCATAAGAATCCTTTAAGAGAAAATGTGTGAAAATCATAAGTTTTATGAAAAAATAGATTTTAAGAAATGACAAATTTTATTTTTCTGATAATAAAAATCTATTATTTTTGAAAAAATATTTATTGATAATAAACTAAAATATATTTCCAATAATAAAGCTTGTTTGGAATAGTAAACTATCTTGCGAGTGTATACACGACCACCACCACCAACGCCACCACCACCAACAACAACATTGCCAGTGGGTGGCATATTGCCACACTGCTTGCGATGGCCTAGCTGAGCCGTGCATAGATCTCTCAAAACTGTTAAGAAAAGCTAGTATATACTACATTTCCAATGCGCTCAGAATCTCTCTCAAACTCTCACGCGCAACTCTCTCAAAACCCGCAATTAAGTCTCTCAAACCTAGCTTATGCGCAAGTCTTCGAACAGGCCTGGTGGTGAAATTTGGCACAGCAGGAGGTGGCGCAGCTGCTTCGGGTTTCTTGAAATTGTCTGCATTGAACGTTTGAGGGTTCTGAATGGAGAGTTTTTGGGATTGAGAGTATATATGAGGGGCTGACGGGCTCCTGAAAAGGATGAGGATTCACCCTGTCAAACGAAGGTTCAGCCTCTTGAAACACTCAGACTTAACTCTCCAAACAAATTGAACAACGTCTTCCTATTGACAACCTTGCTAGTAGGGGTTCGTTGAAATTTCCATTTAAACCCCGAAAACTCAAAAACCAGAAACTCAAAAAACTCTAAGCTCCAGACCATATGACCATATATGGCTGCGGCATTAAGAAAACACTCGGAACTGTCAACTAACCTATAACAACGTATATGCTTCGATCCTCACCACACCATGGACCGTCCCCTGAGCCCATTTGGCACGCATAAAAACACACAGTTTTTTCCACCCACCATATATGCGTCAACCGATCTGGTCTGAAGTTGACTGAACCTGAAGGCCCACTTACCTTCGCACTTCCTCATCCTTTTCATGAGCCAGCTCAGCCCCTCAAATAACTCTCAATCTCGACTCTCAAACTCTCAAAACTCGCAAAACTCTCCACTCGGAACCCTCAAACTTTCAATACTTAAGCACCTCGTCCAACAGTTTCTGATCTTCTGCGGATATGGATTCTCCTTCCTTCCTCAACCCCGACTCATCAGGTTCCTGGCTTCGTGACAAATTGGGTCACAATAACTAAACAATCTCGGGTTGCAATAACTCATCTACGAAATCTCGGGTGACAATAACTCAACATTATGCAACAAAGCAACCGCAAGAGGTAACACTTCAGGATCTTTGGAACTTCTTGCCTCAAGTTTTTCAGCATCCTCAAACTTTCATTTAACTGAACTCTCAGAACTTCTGCGCCGATAATATCAATCAAAAGGCAGTGGATGTGGTGAGTGCGCTGAAGTCGGGAAGATCATCATCAGGCGACTTCCAAACATCCTCCTCCGTGCCAAAATGGCACGCTATTCATGGTGCATACAGGGCGCAAAACAAAGGAGCACAGGTGGGGGTCACATGCAAAGGATAGGCCTGGCTCTCATTGTAATGAACACTTCCCAGCAAAGATCTGAGCATCTGGATTTCGTGCTGAGTGGCCATGCTGCAAGTACGTTGGAACCTTAGTTTCCAAATTCTCCTCACAAAGAGACCTCGAAGACTCTCAAAGCAACCAAAAACTAAACTCTCAAGAAACTCTCAAAGCAACCAAAAACTAAACTCTCAAGAAACTCGGTGTCAAAACCCTCGTAACTCGATGTCAAAACTCTCAGGCGCATGTAAACATCTCAAATCTCTGAAGAACACTCGATCTTAGTTAGTGGCTGTTTCTCATCAGCGCTGCGTTTGCGAAGTTTGCTCAGGGTAATCCGAATCACCTCGCCAACCTTGCCAGCATCATCCTTGCTGAAGGTGGCTAACTTGCTCACCTCACCGCCATCTATATGGCACTGATAGATTCCCTGCGCAATCTTGGTCTTGTTTACCGCAGTGTTAGGGCACAGGATCAGCAATTCCTGGAACACAGCAGTGTACTTGGAAAGTATTCCCAACGCGGTCTTCGGCGTGCTGGTCCAGTTGCATTGCCCTTCTCTGGCCATCTGAAGCATATGGTGTAGGTTCCTTCCTGTCTCTGCCATGCCCTTTTCTAATGCTTCTTGAAGGTTGACCATGGAAACATTCCCATCAGCTGACAACCGTGAGCGCTTGGTTTTCAAAGCCATGGCATACGGAGACGTTTTCTTCGCGTCTCTCTAAATCAAAAAGTGGTGCTCAACGCGTTCAAGGGTTTCTGGTTCTTGAAATCTTTGGATTGTGTCGTGCTTTGGTCTCTCTAAACCGCTCAACGCTTTCAATCAACCACTGTTGGGCCAATGTGGTCCAGATACTGCGACGAACCAAATTGCGAGTTTGAAGCCCTAGTTGCTGCGTCTGGGCCAAGCAAACCTACTGAACATCAAGCCTGCCGACTCTGTGGAAGCTCTCCAAACTCTCCAAGCAAATTCCCTCAAAACTCTCTCAAAGCAAAGCTCTCAAAACAGTGTCCATTCCATGAAGTTGGTCCCTTTTGCTTCCCCTGCAGCTTTGGTATCGTTCGATTGTCTTCAGCTGAATGAAAACACTCAAACTGGATTGGCTGCGTTCAATATTGGATTGGCAGCACAGCACCACAGATCACAATAAGGCACCTGTACGCATGCATCATTGAACCCTGAACACACCACCACCACCACCACCACCTTCAGTAACTCTCAGAACACTCAGTAACTATCCAGCACCACCACCACCACGACCTGCACCACCACCACCACCACCACCACCACCACCACCACCACCACCACCACCACCACCAACACCATTGAATTTGTTTCCTTCAGACTCCTCATCGCTCCCATCGTCCCGCGAACGTCTCGGTGGATGCGAACGTCACGTCCTTGGCCATGACCTCCGCGGGCACGTCTTCCACGGAGACGAACTGCACATCAGGAAGAGCACCCACCTGGAGGTGGCGGCAAGCCAGAGTGAGCTGAAATGGTCCCCCC